GATGAGAAGACTTGGATACTAGGGGTGTGTTCTTGAGTGTCGGTTTTTTTCAGAGGCCATTGCCTGGAATAGATTTGATCAAGGATATTAAAGCAAGATGGGGGGTCCCGTCGAAGTACCAAATCCATCCTACCAGGTGGATTTTGTTCAAATTCGAAACGGACGAAGATTATGGAGGCGGGGAAGTATAATTTTGGAACCGAAGCCTTCTCGTGAAAAACTTGTGGGATTTTCACTTGAAGAAAGACTCTTTGTGGGCACAGTGGGTGAATGAATTTTATCATAAGGGAAGAACCATATGGGAGTGGTCACCGCCACTTACAGCTTCACCGTTCTTTAAGAGCATCATCCGGATCCGGGACGAAATGGTTGAGAGCGCGGGGACTACTCAACTACTTATTGCTAAGCTGGAATCTTGTACGGGGCTTGGCAAATTAAATGTGAGCAAAGTATACGACTGGATTAGGGCTAAGGCCCCGATCAAACCGTGGGGTAAACTTCTGTGGGCGCCATCTATGACCCCAAATCACTCGTTTATCCTATGGATGGCGGCCAAGAATCGAATGGCCACAATGGACCGAGTGGAGCGACGGGGGCGTACAGTCGACAACTCCAAATGTTTCTTATGTGGTGTGGTGGACGAGACTAAACATCACCTCTTCTTCACATGTAGCATGTCTCGAGAGGTGTGGGACAATATACGGATATGGTTGGGTATCCGCCGACGACCAACCATATTGGGTGCAACACTTAAATGGCTCAAGAAGGACGTACGAGGGAAGTCGTACCTTAAATGGCTCAAGAAGGACGTACGAGGGAAGTCGTACCGCAGCAAGACGCAGCGATGTGCACTAGCAAGTCACGTGTACCACATTTGGGAGGCTCGGGACAAGTGGAAATTTGAGAAAATTAAAACTACTCTAAAGGACCTCACGAGGAAGATCCAGATACATGTTTACTCGGCTATGTTTAGCCAGCACCCGGAACTAGCGATTTTAAGGGCGAGCGGACAATCGGGCAACCTTATGCACCCATATGAGGGCGTGATTTAGATGCTAGGCTTTCGTGGGTTATCCCACTTTTATTTATGCTTTTAGTACGTTATTTTATTTCTTTTTGCTTTCTGCAATAGGTTCTACAATTTCATCGGCTATATCCGTTGTAATTGTCTACGACATTTTTGATTTATAATATTTACATTTTAATAAAAAAAAAAAAACAGCAAATAACTAACATTCAATGCTTAACTTTTATATTTATAAAATAATATTCTATAATGCCTAATTTAACATACCTACAAATCAATTTAACATTATCAAACTCTTGTTTATAAGGTTGGATAGAACGATGAGGGCAGTAAACACGTGGTGACTGTGGTGTATAAAAAAGCAGGTGGAGGTACGGTGGCGGAGTGGGGGAGTTTTTTTTTTTTTTTTTAATCATTTGGTCTTGAACAAATAAAAATGTGAAATATGATCTTTTTCTTTTCTCCGTATAAATTGTAACATAAGGGGTGTTTTTGTACTTTCAGCTAATATGTAATAAAAAATTGTTATTATACTTAATGTTTTGAAAATCGGACCGGACATCTACCCGACAAAGCTACTAGGTCGCGGTTGGACCGATTCAACCGGGGTCCAATCAGGTTTCTTATTTTTTTTATATAATTATAATCATTAATTAATACCTCAAAAATAATATATTTTATATTTTTATATTTCCTTTCCACTTTCTTCACTCTATTAAGTATTATCCAACTTACTCCACCTTTGCCTATCAAAAAAAAAAACTTACTCCACCTTTTTTATAAAAAAATAATTTAAAATTATTAAATTCTCTACAATCCCCCCTCTCTCTCTTCTTTCTTCTTCCTCTCGTCTTCACAGGTCCCATCCCCTTCTCTTCTTCTCTCCTTCTTTTCTTCTCTTCTCCATTGTCTGTTTATTCTTAATTATCCCCATTTCCAACCAGACATATACTCTATTTCCTCAACTTAATTTTTCATTTTTTTCTTCATTTTCACTTTCACCTTTTTCATTTTTGTTTCTTCGGTGGAAAGCTATAGAGGCCACCACTTGGATTGGGTCACATACTATCCAGATCCGTTCACCAACAAACTTTTCCGACAAGATTCAATCACCCACGACCACCATTGACGAAGATCCGACTATGACATTTTTTTGAGCTAAAAACCGGTTTTCGAACTAGGTTCTGGGTTAACCGGCTTTTACCGGTCGAACCAGGATTTTGGCACTTGACCCGGGTTTTTGGACTTTTCGGGTTTTTACATCTAACCGGACCGGACATGGCAGCGGTTCGCGGTTGAACCGATCGGACCGGCCGGTCCAGTCCGGTTTTTAAAACATTGATTATTTTTTTTTTGATCATAAAAAAAAAAAAAAAAAAAAAAAAAAAAGAAGAGTCTATTAGCGAGACCCCTTATTATATTTTTTAATAGTACTAGACCCACTTTATTATTTACATTTGAGTGACCCTTCTAAGAGCATCTCCAAAGGTAATAGCTAAAATGTGAGTTGGTATATCTATTATAGTTAGTCAATAGTGTTTATACCATGTTTGTTTTACAATCTCATTCCAACCATAGCATGTATATTTTACAATTTTATATTATTATATTGTTTTTTGAATTATTTTATTGTTATGTATATGTACCGTCAGTATTTTATCATATAAAAAAGGAAAGAACTTGAACAGTAAAACTTAGTGTGCATTATTTTAATATTTTCTTGTTTAGCATTTGTGAATACTCACCAGCTATACATATCAGCTGTAAACCAGAATTTAGCTTGCTAGCTAAAATATACATGTCCCGTTGGAGTGGGTTTTTTGCTTATAAAATGCTATAACCTTCTTTTTTTAGCTTATAGCAGGTGAAATTGTGAATGATTGGAGATGCATGCCCTAGGGTTTTTTTGGTGTATGTGATGTCGTCTAGACTACACGATTGGCCTTCTTCGGTGCCACTAAACAAAAACAAAATACAATAAATATTACAAAAATACTATCATAAAATACTTCACTAAAGTGAAAGCTTTCATAAAACAAACAACATTAACTGTTCTTTCGGTACACAGAATATGTGCCCGACTCAGTGAATAAAATATTGCCATACTTCGGTATTGAAAAAATTATAAATTTTGATAATGGAAAAACTCCAGAAATGTGGTACTGAAGCAGCATGGTGTCGTCGGAAATTGCAGATTTTGGTGAATGACAACCTAATGTTTCTCCATGTTCCTCAACGTATACGACTCCAACTTTGTGTGAATACGAACTCACGACGCTGAATTAGAGAGGCATGAGCGATAGTTGCGGTGGAAGAGAGCAATGGCAGCGGTGGAAGAAAGTGGTGGCGATGGTGGAAGAGAGAGAGAGAGAGAGAGAGAGAGAGAGAGAGAGAGAGAGAGAGAGAGAGAGAGAGAGAGAGAGAGAGAGAGAGAGAGAGAGAGAGAGAGAAGTATTGAGGGAGGGGAGAAAATGAAAAAGCGGCTGGAAAATAAACATAGTATGTTTAGGGCAGGGTCGAACCTGGGTGATTGGAGACCCTGGGCAAGACTTAAAATTGAGGCCCTAAATTCCGATTTTTGTGTATATATATATATATATATATATATATATATATATATATATATATATATATATATATGTGTGTGTGTGTGTGTGTGTGTGTGTGTGTGTGTGTGTGTGTGTAATAAATAAAAATATTAGAAAAGATTTTTTTAATTTAACAAAAATAATTTAATTTTGAGAAATAAAAACACCAATAACATGGAAAAAAACAACTAAGTTTAAACTGTAGAAACTAACAATAGAGAAATATATAGGAGTGTAAGAAAAATTAAATTAGAGTAAAACAATGTAAATGAGATAAAAGGGGTAAGAGGACAAAAGAGATTGGGTGAAAAAAAAATAGGGAGAGATAAATGACAAAATAGATTGGGTCAAAAAAATTAATGTGGAAAAGTGGGGGTTAAAAAGTTAACAGTTGAAGAGAATAGGGGTTCAAAGAAGGGAAAAGAAAAATAATTATAAAATAATAACAAAAAATATAATATTTTTTGGCCCCATTGAAAAGTGGGCCCCGGACCTGTTCCCTGCTCGCCATGTGCCAGGGCCGCCCCTGGTTTAGAGTTAAATAAATTAAAAAGGGTAAAATTGGGTTATAATAAATTAATGGAGGTATGTCAATTCATAATATCATATGAGGGGTTATGTCAAAATGCAAGAAAATAATTGGACTTATAGTATTGATAAATGTGTTTTGAGGGGTTCTCCTTAATTTACCCTTCAACTAATAGGTATTAAATTGTGAAAAAAAATGATATTTATTTTATCCAACCCTATCTAAAATGGTTGAAGCTATCAAATGTTTCTTCTTAAAAAAAACAAAAACAAAAACATGTTCACTACATATGACCTTTTAATCAAGTAAGGCGACATTTGGTTGTACTGCTAGCATCGATTAACTAAATAATTTGATTTTATTGAAAGTTTGGTTAGTCCAACTACTTTTCAAGTCAATCCGAAATTATAGAAAATATCTCTGAACTTGGCTAATTGGAAAATTATTTATTTGACGTCAATACAGTTACATTTTTGTAGGTGTGTAGATGAGCCGATCCGACTCGAACTCGAACTTGAATTTTTCGAGCTCGAGCTCATTTTTAGTTGTTCGTGAGCTCGCGAGTCGGTTCGCGATCTTTTTTTTTCTTGTTTTAATTTCTATTTTAAATATAATTAATATAAAATAAATAATAAATTCATATAAATAATAAAAAAAATTACAGGTCATTTTACGATTTTTTTATTATAATTTATAATAATAAATTTCTAATAATATTAATGAAAAAAATATATAAAATGGTGCAGACTCGAGCTCGAGCTCAGAATAACTGTACTCGAAGAGCTAGAGCTCATCAAAAAGGATATGGGCTCGAGCTCGCCAAAACAGCCAAGGTCGGCTCGATCGTTTACACAAAATCACTTAATTATCATATGTATATAAATCTTATTATCTTATAGAAACCAAAGGTGGACTAAGCATGGTGTATGTATCATACCTTGTACATTTCAAAAATACTACTACTAGGAGTTTTAGACACAACCGAGGGGTACTCCTCATCAACATCATACATTGAATTAACCTTGTGATTTTCAAACCTATGATCACTACTACTCGAAAGTGCATACGCCACGTCACCATGCACCTCAGCATCTCCAATCCTCAATTCTTCCTCACTCATCCTAAGTGGCACAAACATCTTTATCAACAAACAAATCAAGCTTGTAACCACAACATTCAAACACACTATGAACACAATCCCCACAACTTGATTCCTCATCTGCATAAGCCCGGCCCGCGTTCGGCCCGTACGGATTGCGTACGCCAGCCCGATGTACTTTTCCCAGTCGGGGACCATATAGAAGAGCCGGCTCAGCTTCGGCACCGCGAGCACTCCGGTCAGGACGCCGCCGAGAGCTCCGGCGACTGCGTGCGTGTGGAAGATGGCGAAAGTGTCGTCGACGTGCCTTAAAAATCCGATCTTGTGGTGCAGCACATTCAGCGTGTACCAAGGCAGGCTGCCGGAGATCAAGCCCATCAGCATCGCCGCCCAGCACTGGACCACTCCGGCGGCGGGGGTGATGCAGACGAGGCCGGTGATTGTGCCGTTCACAACGCCGGTGGCTGAAGGCTTTCCGCCGGTGACGGAGATGTCGAGGAGTAGCCACGTCACCAGGCTGGTGGCGGCGCACACGTGGGTGTTGATCACCGCAAGGGATGCGACTGTGTTGGATGCGTACGGTGCTCCGCCGTTGAATCCTGTCCAACCCATCCACAATAACCCGGCACCGCCCAGCATCATTAGTATATTGTTTGGCTTAAAGTTTTTTCTGTCTTCGTCGCTCCTCGGACCAACCTATATATATTTAAAATAAAACAATCTCATGTGTTTATCAAGATAATTATGACAAATAATTAATAAGCTCTCATAATTAAATGTTATGATTTTTTACATTTTCTTTAAATAAAACAATCTAGCATTTTTCTCCATGTGATGCATGGGATAACGTTTCAAAAGAGAAATTAATGATTAGTTTAATATAAGATAATATCAGTGTTTTAAAAATCGGCCGAGGTGGCCGATTAATCGGTCTCTGAGGCGGAGGCGGTCTAAAACTTTTACGATTTTTGTGTAATGGTTTGAAAATTCGGTTTTTTGCCTGTGAGGTGGTTTTAGACGGTCCGAGGCGGTCTGAGGCGGTCAAACCTTTAAGGCGGGTCAAACTCGATGGCAAAAATCGGTCAAAAATCGGTTAAAAATCGTTTTTTTTTTCTTTTTTTTTCTTTTTAGAATTCAAAATAAAAGTTGGATTTTAATAAAAGAAAATATGAGTTTATGCCTTATTTTGTTTATGTTAATTGTTATTGTTAAAGAACTAATGATGTATGCCAGGAATGTTCAAGAATAAATGTAATTTCAAAAAAAATGTTTTTTTATTTATATTTTATAAGGATATTTATGTATTATAATCTTATAACTATTAAATTTTTATTATGTTATTAGGATATATACATGATGGAGATATACCTATGTTTAAATATATTTTTATATATGTTTGGAGTATTTATAAATAATATTTAGAAATATATTATATGAAATTTTAAAAACAGATTTATTTTCGATTTATTACCGATTAATCACCGCCGCACCGATTAATCGTGAATCGGTGCCTGACTGACTTGGACCTGATTACCGCTTTTTACAATCTTGGATAATACTAACAATTATAATAAAATTTATTAGTGGTGTCGATAACAACATAAACATTTATACAAATTTAATAGTACAAACTCATTCAAATTTAATAATATAGCTTCCATGAAAAACAAAGAGAAAAGTTAATTGGTTTAATTAGCGTACCCAATATGCAGCGGTGAAACCAGCAACACCAGAAGAGAGATGGATAACAAACCCACCAGCAAAATCAATAACCCCCATCTTCGCAAGCCACCCATGTGGGCTCCACACACTGTACGCCCCCACCGTATACGATAACGTGTGCCACAGCGGAACAAACACCACCCACGCCCCGAAATTCATCCTCCCAAGCAACGCGCCGCCGATCAGGACCGTCGTGATCCCCGCAAACCCGAACTGAAACCACACCATCGTCGCCGTCGGAAAGTACCCCAGAAACGCCTGACCCATAAGGAAGTCGCCGCCCAGAGCCACCGCCGGCTTCCCCCAGAAATCCACCAGTTTGTCGCCGAAGGACATCTGGTAGCCCCACCCGACCCAGCATATCAAGGTTGCCGCGAATGCGTAGACCGCCATTAGGGAAGAGTTGACCGCCCATTTCTGCTTCACCATGCCGCCGTAGAGAATGACGAGCCCCGGCATGGACTGCAGCGCCACCAGTGTGGCGGCGGTTAGCTGCCAGGCGTTGTCCCCTTTGTTCATCCAATCGGGGCTCGACTCATCTGGCCGTAGATTTGGAGGTAGCTCCATTAATTAATTAATTAATTTCAGTAAGTATGGTTTGCTTTCAGTGATCATATTAGTTTTATTATATATAAATAAGGAAGGAAGAGAATCAATCTGGGCCGGATGGATGGATGGATATTGTACTTTGTAGGCAAACGGCACATATTTAGCACTTCTTTCTGATGTATTTGCTGTCTTTTCTTGGCCGGCTCCAATTCTTAGCTAGTTAAATTTATTTCTATCTTACATTGAATGAATTTTTTTATTAATCTGCACACATTAATATTAATATAGATGTATGTAGGTAGACATGGCCACGGGTTGGGTCGGACCTGCCGGGTCCGGATTCGACTTTTACAGGACCCGAAACCAGGGGCGAGTCCACCCAAGGGCTAGGGTGGACTCAATATATATATATATATATATATATATATATATATATATATATATATATGTTTGATATATATTCTATTTAAGTTTTTAGTCTATTCAAATATATTATTTAAGTCCACTTATTTTTAGTTTATTTACTCAAAGCCCCATGTATATTTTATTTATATTTTTAGCCTATTCAATTATATCTTTTTTTTTTGAATTTATTCAATTATATTATTTAAGCCCACTTATTTCTAGTCCACTTACTCAAAGCCCCCATGTCTGACTTGCTCTCATCTTCTATTTTTCAACTTCGTTACGTTTCTTGAAAAAGAAAAAAAAAACTTTGTTCTCTCCCATAGTCTCACTAATAGCAGTTAAATTGCCACCCACCGACAATCGTTTAGCATTTGACAATTTCTCTCTCATCTTAATTTTCAAATTGGGTATCAATTAGAAGTCGATTGTGTCAATTTGATAATCGACTTGATATTCATATTTCTTAAATTTTTATAGCAATTTAGCTTTCACGATTCGTTTTGGATTATCATCTGAAAGTGAAGGGAAAAAAATGCGTATCAAATTTTCATCTCAAATTTCTTTTATAGCAAAAAAATTTTCGGGGCCGCTGCCCCCGAACCCCCCGTGTGTTTAAGCCCCCCCTCACCAAACTTTCTGGCCTCGCCACTGCCCGAAACCGACCCGGGGAGGCGGGTTCACCCGGGTCCAAATTGGTTTTCGGTTTTTTTTTTTCCAAATTATTACAAGAAAGAAAACAACTTTAAATTGAAACTTGAAAAAACTTGAATTCAAAATTACAAAAGAAAAATAGAATTTAAACACTAAACAATTTTAGAAAATAATAACTTAAAAAATGAAACGATTAGGACAGACATAAACTAAATAAAATGAGAGTTGTGAAGATTGGATTAGGGGTATTTATAAGTGAAAATAATATTTGAGAAATTTTTCAAAATTTAAAAATTAAAAAAAAAATCAAAATTTAATCTTTCTTTTAAATTAAATCGTAATTTTGTATGTTTTTCAAAACTAAATATATATGCATTTGTTATTAGTGGACATTTATAATATTAATAATAGTGAACATGTAAATTAATAGTTTATCAAACATTAGTTATACAATTATTATAATCATTTTACAGTGTTATTTATATTTATATATTTATAGTTAGGATTATAATAAATAATATTAAATAGATTATTAATTATCATATTCATTACTATTAAATATTTTTAATTAAATTATCAACAAATGCTGTATAAAAAACTTTAAAAAATATAGAGGATCGAATATTCATATGATTTAATTATTTTTTTTACATTTACATTTTATTCAAATATTAGAATCGAATCGTAAAATTTAAATGGATTAAACTCAAGTCTTTTCAATTTATTCTTCTTTTATATATATATATATATATATATATATATATAAGAAGAAGAAGGCTCGCGAGCCGGCTCGCGAGCTGTCGAACAACTAAATTGAGCTCGAGCTCGAAAAACCCGAGCTCGAGTTCGAGCCTTTGTCGAGCCGGCTCGTCGAGTTCGCGAGCCGGCTCGGCTCGTTTACCAGCCCTACTCCACACCACCCCTTTTCTCTCTCTCTTGTTTCAACCGTACTACTCTCTTACTCACTCTCTCTCCCCCTTTTCTCTATTTCTTTTTTTTTCCCTGGCAGATTTGACTGTTACGGCCGAGACTATGGCGGGTTTTTTATTCTCTTTGTTTCCCGTTTCTCTATTTCTTTTTGTTGTTGGTAGATTCGAGTGATAGATGGAGGTGGAGGATATGGTGGGTTGTTTATGGAGGCAGTTATGGTGGCAACGGCGGGTATTGTGGTTACGGCGGGTATGGTTGGGCTGGTTGTGGGGCTTGGTTATGAAATCGGCTATGATGGATGGGTCGGAGCTCTAATAAAAACATGATGCCATATATTATTTGGTATGGAGCAATCTATTTGAAGACCATATGGTGACCAATCACCAAGGTAAAGGGCCCTTTGTGCGCATAGTGTAGGAACTTTTGAACTACTTGAAGCATATTCCGCAATTTACGTCCTCCTCACTCTAAGGACGAGAATCATTAGATCCAAAATTTAGTCGTTGAAATTGGGATTACATGGGTTATTAAAAAATCTTTTATAAAAGGTAGTAAATATTTTTTCAAAGTTTACAGGCGCAAGAAAGCCATTTCATTCTTTCAATTATTTAGGCAAATCTTTTATATAAGGTAGTATATATATTTTGAAAGTTTAGAGGGGCAAGAAAGGCATTTCATTCTTTCAATTATTTAGGCGATGTTGCGAATTTTTTTTTTTATTTTCTTCCCGCTCTTTTCCAAAATGAATTTATATTTATCAAGCTTAAAAAATATGTGTTGACACCGAAATTTCACCAATTAATGGCCAAATAAATCGGTTATTAATTGGGTCTCAAATCTAAGTCCATAATATATTTGGGCTTTACACATGGATTAATCCTTAAATAAGTATTAAATTCTTATTTTACGGATTATCTAATTGGGCTCGAATCTAGCCCAATAAATCAAACGGCAAGTATCCAAGTCCATCGGCCCATGCTACAAGTCATAACCCTAACTCGTGCCTATAAAAAAACGACCTTATGTGCATGTAAAAAATCAGACTCACACAGACATATATCGGGCTCTCAAGCTCACGTCTCGAGCCTCCACCTCGAATTCATAACATATTTGAATTCGAGATGTTCGTCATAGGAAATCATATGTTCGATTCAAGAACAAGCTTTTAAGCCCTTGAATCAAAATTAGAATAGGAGAGAAGAATCAGGGGAATCACGGAGATTTGTAATCCGCTTTCGTTTGATTAATAAATTTATTTGTTCCCTATTTTTCTTGTCTCGTATTTATTATATTTTGCAGACTCGAAAAAATTGTGGTTAACAAATTGGCACGCCCGGTGGGACAATTTTCGCCCCTCATCTCTTTCTCCGATATCAAATTCATGTTCATTCAACCCCATGTTGTTCCTCGTAGATGTGGTTGGTAAGGCAAAGTCAAAGACTCTAACTTGGGGGCAAATATAATGAAAATTGTGACATAATTTTCATTCATTAGGGACAACCATTCCAACGAAAGGAAAATTTCCATTTGTACCATAATGAAGGGAATTCTTTTTTTACTGATATTGAAAAAAAAAAGGTAGAAAGATTTTCTTTCCTTGGCAGAAAGTGGAAGATATGGCTGTTATTTTGTATCGGCAGCAAAAGATTTATGCAAATTTAAAGATTTGCCAAATCTTTTTATCGAGGGAAATTTTCTAAGAATGAGAAGAAGTCCAACTTCACCACTTTGTCGTCGCTACGAGGAGAGGCACATTTGTTCGAGTATGCTGCTGCAACGAATCCGCCACCTTCACCACGCCGCTGCACGAGCTTCTCGGCGACCCGACGTTGATTTCCTATAGACAAGTCTTGTCCAGTTTCAACACTCCACATCGCCGCTAGAAGCAGCCGCCGGTGTTATCACCTCTTGGAGTTGGAGACCCCATTGATAACTCTCGAAAGCTAGATTTGCACAAGCTAACTACCAATTGTCGCCCGAAACACTCACCGGTCTTATCACTTTGCCGCCGCTGCAAGGAAAAGGCAGTTTGTTCGGGGATGCTGCTGCAACAAAACCTCTGCTCATTGGATTTGCCGCTTCAAATTGCCGCCAATACAAAGCCTAGTCGGCCACCTTTAATTCACGTCGACGGAACATTTGGCCCATGTCTTCTTCCATAGACACAAGGCAATAGGCGGAGAACACTCCACGATGGCACTCCGCTCCGCCGCCTCAATCTCGCCGCAAACCGTTGGCCGCTCAAATCCGCCGCCTCAAACACACCATCTACAAGAGGACTGCGCCGCCTGTTCTCTCGAAGACATAAAGACGGTTGCGTATGAGCCAAATCTCACCCCATTGCCGCTCCTCCTTGCTGCAGTCCGTGGTCGCCGCAGTCACGGTATACGTAAATGGCAGCTCAATACAAATCTCGTTAAACCCACGAGAAGGGAACGAGAGTTGGTGAAAGGTTGAGTTCCAATAGCGGATGGCAACCAAAATATGTCGCCGACGGTGGAATGGTAGCAGTGAAAATGGAGAAGGGGATTTTGGTCGGCTGAATGAAGAAGGCGGGCAGAAAAATCAAATCCTCCAATCAAGTCTTAAATTGCAATTGGGCCCATAGGTGGAAAAGAAAGAAATATCAATTTTGCCTCAAATTTCAGCCCACATAAATGGACTTTTCATTTAAGTCCCCAAAAGTGATGGCAATTCCATATACACCCTAAAATGGAAGAAACAGGTTTTGGAGCCAACAAAGAAACAAAAAAAAAAAAAAAATCAAAGTCTCGCCCTTTACAAGTATTTGGTATGTTTTTTCACTGGATACTTCAAGTCTCGCCTCTCAAGTATTACGCATGTTCTTCACCGATTCTTGAAGTGGGGGCATTTGTTGACACCGAAATTTCACCAATTAATGGCCAAATAAATCGGTTATTAATTGGGTCTCAAATCTAAGTCCATAATATATTTGGGCTTTACACATGGATTAATCCTTAAATAAGTATTAAATTCTTATTTTACGGATTATCTAATTGGGCTCGAATCTAGCCCAATAAATCAAATGGCAAGTATCCAAGTCCATC